TCTGATTTAAGCAATAGGCTACATTCCACAATTAGTAGTTCTGCCATTTCACATTTGAGTTCCTTTAGAGCTCTTGAGTGAATCCCATCTGGTTCTGGTGACGTATTACTGATCAGTTTGGTCCAAAACCTCCTCTCCTGACAGCTCAATCTGGGACAGTTCCTCAGATTTGTCACCTAAAATAGGCACTGGGAATGGTTCAATAAGAGGCTGCTGTAATCAGTAGACATGAGGCAGGCCTAGGAGAATGTGCCATTGTTTGTGCTATGTGTGTTCCAGAGATTTGAACTGCAGCATTTATCTGTGTGCGCTACATCTGGATTCACTGCTTTAGGTGTAGCTATACTGAATGCTGGAGGGGTTTGATTTGGCAGGTTGGCCAAACTGACAGTGTGATACGAGGGGTGTGTGTGTGTGCGCGCACCTTGAGGGATCCAGTCTAGTTCATTTCAGTATTGAATTCTGTAGGGCATATCAGTAATGGGGCATGGGGTCTTCTTGCCATGGAATTGCCAGTTGGCTGGTGGCATACATGGCTGTGGTCTCTGGGGTTTAGTGAAGGTGTCGTGGATTCACAGGCCTGGTGCTCTGCAAAACTTTGGAACATTCCCTTGGAGGCACCCCACAGGGCGCCAGACCCACTTAGTGTCTCACTCTCTGACTAGGGCAAGTGACGTGACTTCACCACCTCGTGGAACCGAACCTCAGAGCCGTCAGCACCCTGCTTCACGCCGTGAGCTCCCTGCAGCGAGTCCACCTGGGTGGGACCCTGCGAGAGATTTGTGCACCCCAAGGGAGCGATGCCCCCACCCATTCAGCATCCGCAGGGACTCAGCCAGCGTGGGGCAGCAGAAGGGTTTGTTACTTGGCTGCACCGCAGTGTAGATGCCAGATGGTCCTTGGTTAGTGCAGAGAGCAGAAAATTACAGCATGGCCCATTCTGGGCACCCCAGAGCCGCAGCCAAGTGGTGCCCACCCTTGGCTCCTGCTCTGAGTCACCCCCACCTGGCCCCTCCTCAGGCCTTTGTCCCTCTTCTGGGCAAACCCGGCTGGCTTCCTGCGGAGGGGTTGGGCCATTGAGGGACCTTAGCTGCTGGGCAGCAAGTGTCCTGGGGGTTGGCTTTGCCATTGTCTTTATGGCCACTCCAGTGACATGGGCCCCAAGCCCCAGAGAGCTGGGAGCCAGTCACACCTGTGTGATAGCCTGCCTGAGCGTAAACACCCGTTTCCACCCTCAGGTGAGAATGTTGTATATGGGGGAAACTGAGGCAGGCACCACAGTCATACAAAATATTTATAGAAAATTCCCACTCTGTCACAGAAGGCAAATCTCTGGGTAGTAAGAGAAAGAGGTAGCTTCAACTCTGCATGGACTACATTTTTGGGCAGTGGATTAATACTTCGATTAGAAATGCTCTCTAACCGGCTAATGTAGATCATGGCCATGGGATCAGCTGGGTGGCTAATTCCAGGTCACTCTGTAGCAATAAACCACTCCGGGTGTGGGCAGGAATGGGTTGTGTGTCTCAGGGGCAGTGTGGTGCAGAGTGGGGCACAAATACCCACAGATCCAACCAGCTTGGGGCGGTTTGCAGCTCCCAGGGGATGTGCCCGAGCAGGTTTCTGGGCTGCGACGTGCCTGGAGCGGGCTGCCGGAGGATATGCTGGCTACGGGACATAACCAGCTCTGATTGAGCTCCTACGAGCAAACGCGCTACGCGATTTTACTCCAGCATGACTGGGGCCGCTTCTGGGAGATCCAGGTGAGAGCAGAAACCGGCCCAGAGCAGGGCGCTGTACAAAATGACCCCTGGGAAGCCCCTGTCACCTGAGCGGCTCCCTCTGCACTGGGATGTTAACCAGGTACCAGTGCCGGGGTGGCAGACACCCCCCGCAGAACTGGGGCTCACGGTGCACGGGGAGTCCCGGCGCAGAGACACAGGCTGAGCGGGGAAGGGGGAGGGGGGCGGTTTCCCGTCCGGCTCTCGGGCTAAAGCTCCCTAGAGACGCAGGGCGGGGTGGAGCCAGTATAGTCACGGGGCCCGGCCTGCGGGACTCCCGGGCTACGCCTGAAAAGCTGGTCCCAGGTTGCAACCCACTCATCAACCTGCCCGGGCGGGTTCTGCCCGGAGACCGGTGACGTGGCTGGCTCCGTCTGTCGCTATTGGCGGGACCGGCCCCTCTCGGCCAATCCCGGCAGAGGCTGAGTGCCCGGCGCTGCGCGCCGGGGATCAGTGAGCTGCGGGCGGGAGGGGCGCAGCTGTCGGAGCGAAGGACCCCGCTGGGGATGGGGGGCCGGGAGACCAGCCTGTGTTTGTTCCTCCTCCTGCCCCTGGGGGCCCTCGCCGGCAAGGGACGGGACCCCCGTGAGTACCTGGGGTCCCCCCCGGGGGTGGGGTCCTGGGGCCGCTGGGTTACAGGCTGGGCTGAGTCGGGAGGGGGGGACTGAGGGGAGGAGTCCGGGATTGGTTCCCCCTGGTATTGGGAGCAGTCACACGTGGGCTTGGCAGAATTGCAGGTTTATTGTGTTGTCACTTTTATTTTTCAGCATTTTTTAATTTTTGTTGAGTTCAACACTTCTGCGAAATGGGGGGAGGGTGGGGGACAGACAATTACACCTCTACCTTGATCTAACGCTGTCCTCGGGAGCCAACAAATCTTCCCGTGTTATAGGTGAAACCGCGTTATATCAAGTATCAGGGGGTAGCCGTGTTAGTCTGTATCTACAAAAACAACAAGGAGTCTGGTGGCACCTTAAAGACTAACAGATTTATTTGGGCATAAGCTTTCGTGAGTAAAAACCTCACTTCTTCGGATGCATAGAGTGAAAGTTACAGATGCAGGCATTATATACTGACACATGGAGAGCAGGGAGTTACTTTGCGTTATATCAAACTTGCTTTGATCCGCCAGAGTGCGCAGCCCCCTCCCCTGAGTACTGCTTTACCACGTTATAGCCGAATTCGTGTTATATCGGGTCGCGTTCTATCGGGGTAGAGGTGTGTTTTGTGTCCACTCAGGTTAAGACTCAAAGTGAAGACATGCGTCTGACGAAGTGGGCATTCACCCAGGACAGCTTATGCTCCAATACTTCTGTTAGTCTTAAAGGTGCCACAGGACACTCTGTTGCTTTTTAAAGTGAAGACTATAACCCTTACAACACAAACTGGCACCATCAGCTGTCAAAATATACAGAATTAATATCCTGAAATCAAACTGTAATTTTTTAACTTCTCGATCAGCATTTTTCTTACTTTTGCCTTTTATCAATAGAAATATTTGTTAATCAATTTCTGTGTGTACAGTCATGACAGTAGACAGGCCCTCTCAGAGGTCCAGTGAGGCCCGGGCAACTTCCAGCTTTTGAAGCCCTCACCATAATAAAAATAAGGAATGACAACACCTGAAAACAAAATAAGGCACCAAAAAAAGAGTGAGACATAATTT